GTAAGAAGATCAGCCCATTGATCAAGAGCTGGTATGTGATAAACTAGAAGTTGCTTGGATAGGACTTTGTCACGAACAAAGAACACATCAATCTCCATGTGCTTTGTTTTGCTGTGGAAAACAGGATTGTGAGCAATGGCCACCGCGCTTTGATTGTCACAGAGTAAAGTAGGTGTAGAAAAGGGAACCTTAAGTTCCTGCAAAAGGGCTTGAATCCAAGTTAATTCAGCAGAGGCTTGGGCTATACTGCGATATTCAGCTTCTGTGCTGGACCGAGCAATAACACGCTGTTTCCTGGACCACCAAGATATCAAATTGGGTCCAAAAAAGATAGCAGAACCAGAAGTGGACCTCCTGTCATCAATATCAGAGGCCCAATCAGCATCACAAAAGGCAGTGAGAGAGATGGGGCCGTTTACAGCAGCAGGTTGCATATGAAGACCATAAGAGAGTGTGCCTTTTAAATACTTGAGGATACGTTTGACAGCCACCCAGTGAGAGTCAAGAGGAGTAGCCATAAATTGACAAACTTTGTTAACAGCAAAACTGATTTCAGGTCTTGTAAGTGTAGCATACTGTAAGGCACCAACAACAGATCGAAAAAAAGTGGGATCATGAAAGAAGTCATTCCCAGACCTGGACAATTTGCAGTTAGAGAACATAGGAGAAGGAGCACCATGAGCTTCAGCCAAATTAGTTTTAAAAAGAAGGTCTCGAATGTACTTGCTTTGAGTCAGAACCAGAGACTTGTCAGGCAAGTGTTTAACCTCAATACCTAGAAAGTAATCCAAGCTTCCCAATTGCTTTAAAGAGAAAATTGAGTCAAGTTGGTTGGTGATTTGTTGAATGAGCAAAGAAGAGCTGCCAGTGATAATGATGTCGTCCACATAAACTAGAATAAAAATGGTATGAGTTTGATGTTGGTACTGAAACAGAGATGGATCACATTTGCTAGCTTGAAAGCCAAACCGAGTTAGAGTCAATTTTAATTTGTTAAACCATTGACGAGGAGCTTGTTTCAAGCCATAGAGGGCCTTGTTTAGCTTGCAAACCAGACTCTTATCCCCAGCTTCAAATCCAGGAGGCTGCACCATGTAAATAGTTTCTTCCAAAGTGCCATTCAGAAAAGCATTATTTACATCAAGCTGAAATAGATTCCAATTATTGGTGAGAGCAAGAGTAAGAATAATGCGAATAGTTATAGGTTTAATAACAGGGGAGAAAGTCTCATGAAAATCAAAACCATGCACTTGATGAAAACCCTTTGCAACTAGCCGAGCTTTGAGCTTATCTATAGAGCCATCAGCATTTTCCTTGACTCTGAAAACCCATTTACATCCAACTGCTTTGCGATCAGATGGCAGAGAAACTAAATCCCAAGTATGATTGAGCATTAAGGCATTGTACTCTTGTTGCATAGCAGAGAACCAGTTAGGATCAGCAAGAGCTTGCTTAACAGTTTTAGGTTCACTATGAGCTAAGAACAGGGATGGATGTATCCGAGGATTATGAAAGCCAGATTTAGACCTAGTTTGCATAGGATGGTTATTAATGGTTCTTGGTATACTGGCAGGGGCAGTGGAAGAGGTAGGAGAAGAGACATTTTGTGAGGAAGACTCAGGAGATGAAGGAGATACATTTTGGGAAGAAGACACGGAAGGAATGATTGATACACTTGAATCACCAATTTGAGAAGGCAAAGGAGGCTGCTGGGAGAGAACAGTTGAAGTGGTGCAAGGAGGAGACAAATCTGGATTGAGATTGAAATATTGACATGGAGAGACATTTTGTGTAAGGCTTGGCTGAAACAAATCTGTGTAAGGAAACCTATGTTCATTAAAGATGACATCCTTTGAAATGTAAATTCGGCCAGAAGAAGAGAGACATTTATACCCTTTGTGAGAGTTTGAGTATCCCAGAAAAACACACTCCTGGGATCTGAAATTAAGTTTATGACTGGCATATGGTCTTAAGAAAGGAAAACAAGCACAACCAAAGGTTCTTAAGAATTTGTAATCTGGTGATTTGTTGAATAAAGTAGTGAAAGGAACATTAAAGTTTAATGCAGCAGAAGGCAATCTATTGATAAGATAAACAGCAGTGGTAAAAGCAAAATCCCAAAATTTTAGAGGTAAGGAGGCATGATGAAGAAGGGTGAGACCAATTTCAACAATATGTCTATGTTTCCTTTCAACCACACCATTTTGATGATGTGTGTGGGGACAAATCACTCTATGTTGGATTCCATTTGTGGCAAGAAAGGAAGTAAAAGCTCGGTATTCCCCTCCCCAATCAGATTGAACACTTTTAATTTTGGTGTTGAATTGTAATTCAGCCATAGCCTTAAATTGTTGAAAAACAGATAGAGTTTCAGCCTTTGATTTTAAGGGATATATCCAGGTGTATTTAGAGAATGCATCAATAAAGGCAACATAGTAAAGATAACCAGAAAAAGATGTAATGTGAGATGGTCCCCATAAATCAGTGAAAATTAAATCCAAGGGGGCAGAATATATAGTTTGAGATGCAGAAGAAGGAAGTCTACGAGATTTTCCAACACAGCAAGATGAACAAAATTTAGTAACATGTGTATTTGATGAAAGAAGGTTACATTGTGTAAGAACAAGCTTAAGAACATGAGAATTAGGATGACCAAGTCTAGTATGCCACATAGTGGAAGAACTAGATACATCATAATTTTTATTGAAATTGAAATTATCTAAGACTGCAGAAGTTGAGACAGCAGACTGAGAGGGTATTTGAGCCGAAGAAGAGACCAATGCCAAGGGACTTTGGAGCTTTAGATTTGGAAAAGAATAAAGCTCATCAGCACCAACAACCCCTTGAAGAAGAACCTCATTGGTTTCATTGGTGTCCTGAGATTTGACAAGACAATGATTAGCATGAAACTCAAAGAAAACACAATTGTCTTTAGCAAACTTACTGACACTCAACAGATTTTTGGTGATAAGAGGAACATGGAGAAGATTATTCAGGTGAAAATTAAATTGAGAGTTGATAGGAGAAACAAAAATAGAAGAACCAGAACCATTGATTTGCAAACCTTGACCATTTCCTATGAAAATTTGGTCTGGACCATCAAAATGCTCAAGCTGATGAATGTTCTGAGGCTCACCAGTAACATGAAATGAAGCACCAGAATCAGGAATCCATGAAGAGTTAACACCTAGTTGAGAAGTATTAGCAACCATAACACTTGGTGTGACATTAACATGAGCCTCCTGGCTGGGCTGTTTCGGATTAGGATTCACCCAAGTGTTGGAGCCTTTAAGATTTGAAGAAGTGACCTGCATAGGCTGCAGTGTGGCAGGATCATACAGAACAAGGGATTTTGCAGGTTGATAATTAACATTAGCTCTATAGAAACAAACATTGGCAGTATGGCCATACTTGAAGAAATTGGCAAAACGACCACCACGGCCTCTGCCCGAACCTCGACCACCACGACACCCACTGTGACCACCACTAACACTGCCATGAGAATAACCTTGAGTGTAATTAATTGAAGGAGAAAAGGATTGCTTACGAAACCGGTTAGCTCTTGACTCATGAGCAAGAAGAAGAGCTTCCACTTCAGCAATAGGAGGAGTGACAAACTTGCTTTCAGTAACAGAGACCAGTGTGGTAGGATCATACAGAACAAGGGATTTTGCAGGTTGATAATTAACATCAGCTTATAGATATCCCAGTGCCACCCCCCACCTGCGAAAAGCAAGAACACTCTCCTAAGAACAAAAGTCACCACAAAGGTAAAACGCCAAATACCACAGAAGGGCCAACGACTCACCTTGCCGACCGGAGCAGCAGGTACGGCACCCCGGACCACCTCCTCGGCAGCATTCCCTACCTATAGAAAACAACCTTAAATCCAAGTGCCAACAAAGGGAAACAAGACTAAGAAGAAAAGCACTCACCACAGCAACCCGGTCAACAACTTGAGCCGGCACCTTACCCGATTGGACAACTGGCTCAGTAGCCAATGCCACCTCTTCGGCAGCCACACGACCGACCCCCTCCGGCGGTGGAAGCACAGCAAGATCCACCTCCCCAGTTCCAGTAACGGAGCAAGAAGAAGAGCTTCCACTTCAGCAATAGGAGGAGTGACAAACTTGCTTTCAATAACAGAGACCACAGGTGCATACTCCTGAGGCAGACCTTCAAGAACAACATCAACATATTCAAGAGACATAGGATTCCCAACTCCAGCAAGTTCATCAGCAATAGTTTTGATTTGAGTCAGAAAATCACGCATAGACTGACCATCAAGAGTGGTGGAACACAGGTCAGTGCGAAGCTGTCGAGCTCGAGCTTTAGTTTGAGTATGAAAATACTCGTGAACCTTGTCCCACACTTGATAAGAGTGAACGGAGCCAATGACACATGAAAGGATAGACTTCGAGAGCGTCGATTGCAGCCATGTGAGAAGCATCTGATCCTGGACCTCCCAGGTTTCATATGCTGGATTAACAATATCAGAATCACGATCAGCATCGGTCAGGGAGTTGAATAACAGGGTGCCATGATGACAAGTTCGTATGAAAAAGTGAAATAGTTTCCAAATAACATGCTAATATGTTTCTATCTAAATATTTACAATAAATGGGAGACAAGACACATTTAATGAAAATTAATGAGACTTTCAAAAGTATAGTATAAATTAATTATGCTGGATTGATAAGTTTAACATAGTAGTAGTCGTCCTGCTATCCTTCATCCAACTGTACTATTTTTAGAGCTGGCCACTCTGCTTTGGTATATGGGATTGATAACCGTACTGCAGGTCTAATGAATTTTTTAGGTATTTGGTATTTGCATAATGGTATAATCAAAATTTATCTTAAGAGATAAACTAGGAAATGTGAGTTTTTGGTTACCAGAGTATTTATTTCTATTGGGGTACATATTGTTCAATGAAGCTATCCTATTTCTACTTTTACTTCCACGAACCATAGCTAATATGAAAATATATCAACATTCAGGAAATTGCGGAAACCAATGACGATTCTTGTGGTTAATAATCATGGAGGAGCAATTTTCAGTATTCTTCCTTTGGCAGATAAAGTTGAACCTTGTATAATGCATCAATATTTCTACACATCTCATAACATTTCGATCCAAGAACTATGCATGGCACATAGGTATGAATCTTAACATTTGACAGGATTTGTGTGGAAAATGCTTGTGTCATTGATATTTTTGTTTTATTTGTGGCTTATTGTTCCATTTTTCTGCTTGCTTTTTAATGTAACTAATGCCATCTATGAAGCATTGATACATCAATTGGCTTCATGTATTCGTATTTGATACGATACTCTCAGATACTTCATCGTATCAGTGAAGTATCCCAATCTTTTAAATATTATGAAAATTTTATTTAATATGGATACTCTCAGATACTTTATCGATACTTATTGGTGATATAAATTGATAAAGTATCCAAATTTTGAAAAGATTATAAAATATCCATATAGCTAAATAAGATATATAAACATGTTTAATATAGAAACATAGAAATATTGGTCCTTGATGATCCGTAAATGAAAATCGTCTTCTATATAGATAATTTTAAGAAAAAAATGAGATTGGTAATATGATTTTATTTATTTATGATGAAATGATTTATATTTTATTTGTTTTTAGTAATGTATAATAAGTATGTTTTTAATTTGGATATGCAAAATAGCAATTATTTATTTATATATTTAATGTGTATGAATTTTGATAAAAATTACATGTATACATTTATTATATTGCATGAATATTGATACATATGATGATCCGTGTCTTAAAGGTATTGTATCATGTATTATTTAAAATAATCGTATTGTCGTGTTGGATACATGTCGTATTCGATATGCGTATCGTTTTGGTGCATCATTAGTTTTTTCTGTTCTTGATCATGTTTGATAAATCAGAAGACTTCAAGTTAGAGTATTATATTATATTAATTATTTACTTTGGTCTTTTGCTATGGCGAATACCGAAAGCACAACTTAGTATTGGGATTGCTATATGTGGGAAATCAAATAGTATTTTAGGAAAGAATAAATTAGGAAATTTGTATATTTCCTTGTAATCTGTACAGATTTGAATAATTAGGAACAATCCCATAAATCAAGGGATTCTACAACAGAATAGTTATTATATTTCCTAAAATAGCATAGGTCTCTTGAACAAATCTTGTATGATCTCTTTGTATTACTTGGTAGAAAATCAGTTTTTATTTAACCTAATTGTCTAGATGGTATCAGAGCTTTCGACCTAGGAAGCTTTGTCTACGCACCGTAAACCCAAAGACGCCAGCCTGCATTGCTATTGCATTTTTTTCTAACCCTAAGATGGTAGCCTGCATTGCTGTTGCATCTTTCCTATGTTCATTGCACATTTTTTTTCTTGTTGTTTTCTCTGTGCCTTAATCGCACAACCTTTCCTTTTATTCTTCACCACTCAGCCACCTTGCTATAATGTCAAGGAAAGAGGAAGTTGTGAACCCAACCCCATAAACAAGGAATACCCAATCCCAACAACCCGGAGAACTGCAAAATATTCATTCTCCATATAGACTAAATGGAAGAAATTATTAATTATTTGAAGTCGGCCTAACTTGTTTGTATAGTGTTGAAGGAAAAGGGGAGGTTGAGTCAACTGATGGAGTTTGGACATAAATAGGAGGATCCCAAGTTTACTACATGGGATGAGGAAGATTCAATGATCATGGCGTGGCTGTGGAATTCAATGATTCCAGAAATTAGTGATGCCTTGATGTTCCTTAACTCAGCAAAAGAGATTTGGAATGTAGTAGAGCAAACCTACACTAAAGCCAAAGATGTTGCTCAAGTATATGAAGTAGAGGTTAAAACTTTGGCAGCAAAACAAGGGAACAAGACTGTTACAGAATATGCCAATCAGCCGAAATCATTATGGATGGGGCTAGACCATTATAGAGTCATAAAAGCCAAATTTACTGAAAATTCAATACTCCTCAAGGACTATATCGAGCAAGACAGAGTTTATGATTTCCTTGTTGGTTTGAATCCTGAATTTGATCAAGATAGGATTCAAATATTGGGGAAACGAAAGGTACCATGCTTCAATGAAGTGGTGGCTATTGTGAGAAGTGAAGAAAGTAGAAGGAGTCTCAAGTTAGAGCGTCCAGCAGTAGAGAACTCAGCAATGGTGGCTTATCATAATGGAGATCAGACTTTGGCCATGATAGCCGAACAAAAGAAAGGAGGATCAGCAAATGTGGAGAAGAAAGGTGATGGTCTCTGGTGTACCTACTGCAATAAGCCCCGTCATACTTGAGAGAAGTGCTAGAAGTTGCACGGGAAGCCTTTAAATCGAGACCGAGAAGGGGTTACAAAGGAGGCTCTGTAAGGAAGGGAGGACAAGTTTATGTTGATATTGGAACAAATGAAGAAAAAAAGCTAGAAGCTACTGCCCATCTTAACCAAGAAGAGATAGAAAGGATGAGAACCCTTCTTAGTAAGCTGGAAAAACATACATGTGTGTGTTCTTTGACATACTCAGATATGTTTCCACTTTCTTTTGGATTAAATGTCTTAGATACACCCTTTAACCATTATTGGATATTGGACCCTGGAGCCACAGACCACATGACACCATTAGCCAAACACTTTTCCACATATTCCTCATGTCCCAGCAACAAGAAAATTGCCACAGCAGATGGAACCCTTATAACTGCAGCTGGTCAAGGAAATATACAAATCAATCCTTTAATAATCTTAAAAGATGTTCTCCATGTTCCCAAGTTATCCACCAACCTAGCCTCTATACAAAAACTTATAAAGGATTTGTCATGTATTGTTGTTTTTTACAATGATCATTGTGTATTTTAGGACAAGAATTTGGGGAGGACGATTGGACATGGTAGAGAATGGAATGACCTTTACTATCTTGAAGATCCAAGTTTGTCCAGCAAGAACAAAATCTCTCACTCCTTCATATCTAAATCTATGATGACCAACAAAGTAAAAACCATGCTTTATCACTGTCGGCTGGGACATCCTTTTTTTGGAGTTACAAAAATTGTTTCCTTCTCTGTTTACCAAGTTAGATGCTGAGAGTCTTCATTGTGAGGTGTGTGAAATTGTTGAGCACAAGCGTGTATCTTTTCTAATAAGTAATATAATTAGAAATTTTCCCTTTGATATTGTTGACACTGATGTATGGGAGCCTTCTAATGTTCCAATTGTGTCTGGTGCTTGATGGTTTCTCACCTTTATAGATGATTGTACAAGGGTCACTTGTGTGTTCCTACTTAAACAAAAATATGAAGTCAATTTTGTCTTCCTAAACTTCCACTCCTTGATAAAAAAATCAGTTTGGTGTTGATATTAAGAGACTTAGGTAAGATAATGCCAAAAATTACTTCAATCATGTCCTTAATTCTTTTGTCAAAAAGAAGATATAATTCATGAGTCTTCTTGTGTCAAAACACCACCACAGAATGGGGTCGCAAAGAGGAAAAATGCGCATCTATTTAATCAGACCCAGGCATGGTTGTTCCAAAATAGTGTCTCAAAAAATTTCTAGGGTAAGTTGTTCTTACAACAATACACCTTGTTAATAGACTACCCTCTAGAGTCTTAGGATCAAAATGCCTTATGGAAGCTTTGTCATCTTTCTATCCAAACCTGTCCACTACAAATAATCTTAAACCAAGAGTTTTTGGGTGCACCTCATATGTCCATATTCATTGTACAAACATGAGGAAAGCCTTGAAGTGTGTCTTTGTTGGTTACTCATCCACTCAGAAAGGGTACAAATGTTACCACCTCCCATCCAAAAAATTATGTGTCGAGGGATGTTACCTTCAATGAACAAGAGGGCTATATCAATCAACCTTATCTTCAGGGGGGAGTTTCCGGGAAGACAAGGAAAGTAATTTTGGTTTTCCCACTCTTCCAAGTGAAATAAGTCAAGGAAGTGAAGTTGGTCAAGGAATTGGTCAAGAAACGGAAGCTGGTCATGAAAGTGAAATTAATTGTGAAGATGATCAAGGAGATGTTGAAGATAAGAGATTTGGTAAGAAGCTGGTGTACTCAAGACTAAGGCCATTCCAGGATTAATCCATGTTCAAGAATCCAACTCAACTCCACAAAAAGAGGTAACAATTTTTTCTACAGCTGTGCAGGTTGAAATTAAAACCCAAACTGATCTTGACCTCCTAATTGCCATTAGAAATGGGACAAGAAAATGCACCAAACAGCCATTCTACCCTCTCTCAAATTACTTGTCTTTTAAAAATTTCTCTCTTGCCCATAAAACTTTCCTAGTAAACCTAAACAGTACACTTGTACCTAATACCCTATCTGAGACATTGTCTGACAGAAAATGGTGGCAAGCCATGGATGTAGAAATGGAAGCATTGGAGAAGAACAATACCTGGGAGTTAGTCACCTTACCAATAAGAAAGAGACCAGTTGGATGTAAGTGGGTCTATACAGTGAAATACAAGGCTAATGGATCAATTGAAAGATATAAGGCAAGACTAGTTGCCAAAGGGTTCACCCAAACCTATGGAATTGATTTTTTGGAGACCTTTGCTTCGGTTTCCAAAATGAACACAGTTAGGGTGATATTGTCTCTTGCTGCCAATTATGGTTGGAACTTGGAGCAATTTGACGTTAAGAATGCTTTCCTACATGGAGACCTTGAAGAAGAAATTTTATGGAGATACCTTCGGCATATGGTAGAGATGTTGCTGCCAACACTGTTTGCAAGTTGAAAAACGCATTATATGGGCTAAAACAGTCCCCCCATGCATGGTTTGGCAAGTTTTATGACAGGCCTAGGTTAGAAACAAAGCCAAGGGGACCATTCTTTGTTCTTTAATCATTCCAAGTTAGGGGGAGTAACAATGTTATTGGTGTATGTGGATGACATAATATTAACCGGAGATAATAACGAAGAGCAGCAATTGTTGAGCCAATGCTTGGGCAAGGAATTTGAGATCAAGACCTTGGGAAAACTAAAATATTTTTTGGGAATTGAAGATATTTATATCCCATTAGAAATATATCACTGATTTGCTCAAGGAAACTGGCAAGGCAGCTTGTAAACCTGCTAGTACCCCATTAGAACCAAACCTAAAGCTTGGAAATGCAGATGTTAC